TGCATTACATTTGCTCCTCTGGTCTGAAACACATTCACTTAGACACATCCAACAAATTCCACAGGCCTCTGTGGAAGCTGATATTCTTTACCCTCACTATTTCTGCCCTCATACCCAGTCCTAAGGAGCCAGAGATTTCCTCACCTGGGTTCAGACTGATTTTTTTTTTTTAAATCTGGATTCCAAGAAGAGTTATAATACTCTAGTTCCCAACAACCTGCCACTGGGGTCTCCTATTGGTCCCTATGAATGGCCTGGCTATTTCTACATTCACTTGCTGATCTCTCTGTCTGAAATGATTTTCCCCCTAGCTGTCTACATGACTGGCTCCTAATTCTTCACATCTCAGCAGAACTTTAACCAGCCATGCTGTCAAAAGAAGATTCCCTATCACTTCTTCATTGTAAATTATATTTGATCTTTTTTTCTTACTTAACAACAACAACAAAATTAGGGGCTAACACACCAACACTTTACCATGACCCAAGTTCATGTTAAGCATTTGCTATGGTTTGGATATAGTTTGAATGTCCCTCAAGGCTTCATGTGTTATTTAATCCCCATTGTAAGATATTAAGAGCATGGAAACTTAATCTGACAACAGTGCTTAGAGGGTGGAACCTCAGGAAAGTGATTAGGAATCAAGTCATCAGGGTGGAGCACCCAAGATTGAATCCTGGTGGTTTTACAAGAAAAGGGAGAGGTGTGATGTTGCACACCTGTAATCAGTGACTTGGGAGGCTGAAGAAAGAGGACTGCAGATTCAAGGCTCACCTTAGCAATTTAGAGAGGCCCTGTCTCAAAATAAAAAATGAAAAAGAGCTGGGGATGTTGCTCAGTGGTAAAGCACCCTGGAATCAATCCCTAGTTCCAACAAAGAAAGAAAACAGAAGTCATACATACACACATGTGCTCCTATCTCTTGCCATGTAATGCCCAGCACCACCTCAGACTCTGATGGGGTGGTCCTCAAACTTGTACCTCCAGGAACTATAAGCCCAAATAAAGTTCCTTTCTATATAACTCACCCAGCATGTGGTATTGTATTATTAGCTACAACAAAAATGGACTAATCAGCAATTTAATGGAGATTATCTTGCTTAAGTGATAACCACCCCATGAGGTAGGTGCTATTATTACTATAAATTTAGAGATGATGAAAATCAAGACAAAAAGGTTACATACCTTACTTATGGCCATGGGGGCAATGAGGTAACTAGCAATCCCGCCTCTGTAACCACTACACTACACTGATTTCTTAAGGTCTTCCCCTGCCCTGCAGATGTCTACTTCCAGACTATGAAGCTCAAGAGAAAATCATTCAGCAAAGGATCTCAACCCCTATTGGAATGCCTGGCATAAAACAGGTGCTCAGTACCTGAATGAATGAAAACAAAGTAATACTGTATAATTTTTCCTCATAATCTCTGATCTGCCTCTGCTTCCTCCTGTTCCTAGGACAGGATCCAGCCTCTAGGAGATATCTAACACATTCAGAAAATCTAAGAGCCATAAAGAGCTTTTCTAACCACCCGTCTCTGTCCCCTCAGTTTATCCAAGGAAAATGACCTCTCTTGGGTCTTTCTCCTATTTCTGAGAATAGACAATCAGGCAACATGCATAATGGAGGATGCATAGGTTTCTGGGGTCCTAAGAGAGAAGGAGGCAGCTGTCAGCCAGAAGATGCCCTGCTAGAATGGAACCCAGAGAAGGCCAGGATACTATATTTGCCCTGCCTTACAAAACAAATAAACACCCCTTGCCAAATGCCCTACACCTTCTGAGAACTGTCCAACACCTGAAACATGTTCCTTGGAAACTTCATCCCCTGGCGCACACCTAAATTCTCGTTAGAGACTACAGCCTTCCTTTCCAGCTTCTCTCCCTCTTCTCACAGGGATGGGGAAGCAAAAATATCCAGCAACAGAGCCTAGAGGCCAGGCCTTTGGTATCATCTTCTGAAGCAGAAAAGGCCTTTCTGTTGGAGACAAATAAAATTTATGGTCACTCCTTGCTTCTAGTTAACCTCAGCCTTGAAAAGTCCTGAGCATCCCCAATATACAAAATCCCAAGAACCCCAAACTCTATGTCAAGAACTTCTAGAAAAGTAGCACTGCCAAATGCCATAGGACTTGTGAATGAGTGGAGGGAACAACATTCTAGCCTAGCCTGGCCAATGAGAGTTTCTAAGATGAGGTGATATTGGGGCTGTCCTTCATGGAAACAAGAAGGAAGCAAACGGAGCAAAAGGCAAAATAATATGGAAAACACAAGCAAACATTTACTGAGTGCTCACTTTGTCCTTGGAGCTTTCTGTGTTTTTGGTGCTGGGTTACATGTTTTACACACAGTAGCTTGTTGACATCTCCCACTCTTTATGAGATAGATGCTGCTAATATACACTTGAAGAAACCAAGGCCCAGAGATGTTAAATAATCCAGTAACTGGCAAGGTTGGAATTCAAACCCAAGTTTGCCTGACTCCAGAATCCCACCACACCAAGTCCTGGGGGAGATGGCTTGTGTGACAAAACAAGGGATCCCTAAATGCCATATTAAATGTTCAGATGGGCCACGTGCTGAGAGTGTTGCAGGAAGAATGGCTTAGTATATTTATGGAGGATTATGGAGGATGGTGGGAAGATGGGAATCCTATGGTCCTAGAAGATGTGCAGGGGAGGGGGAGGCAGCAGCAGGAGTAAGAAAAGATGAAAGAGAAACAAAGCAATTGAATGCTAGGTGATGATCAACGCTATTAACCTTTAGATTTAAGCAAATATCTTCCTCCAGTCCCAGTCCACAAAACTCATATTAATTGCCAACTAGGTGTTATGCCCTGTCCCAGGCAGCCTCGCTCTGTTTCTCCTCTTCCCACAATGAATTCAGGTTGCTGGCGGGGCTCCTTGAGCCCAGCATCCTGAAGTGTTCTCCCCTCATTCCCTAGGAACTTTTTCTCCCCAGGGCTGGGGGCTGAACCCAGGGCTTCAGGCACAGCAGGCAAACACTCTACCACTGAGCCATGTCCCCACCCCTCCCCTCATTACCAACTCCACTCACATAAGTAAACTTTTATTGAAGTTTTATGTTAAAATATTAAAAACTACAATTATTATACTTTAACTTCAGTCGGTTTTATATCTTAATAGTACTTATTTTCACTTGACTCGTCTAGTTTGTAAGTTAAATAATAACTGAGCTCACTTTTAACCTCAAAAATTTTTGATGAGATCATTTTCTACAGTGGGTGAGTCATCTGGCCATCTTCCTCCTTCAGCTATAAGCACCTCTGCTTAAAGGTATCACTAGGGGGACAGGGGTGGGAACACACATTCCTGCCCTTTACTACCATCTGGGGGAGGTGAGGGACCTGGAATTAGGACATCTGTTGCAGCTGCACACGAGGAAACCATTCTCACTTTGGAGCAGTGAGATGAAAGAAAGGGGAACCCAGCTTCTGACTACTCTTGTGTAAGAAACCCTGTCCCGACACCCGTCCCCCACCCTTGCTGAGGGGGATTTTTAGACGAATACTTGTGTATGAACTTCCAGATTTGCAGGGCCACCCCTTGTTTTCCCAAACACTTTCTTTAGGAGATACTGCGCAGCCGGCGGTTCAGAGTTCAAAAGAACTTCTCGCTAAACTGGCTCAGCAATCCCCAGGCAGGCGAATGCCAACACACGATGATTTCAAAAGCCTTGGGAGTGGGGAGGATTTTCCGCTTAGCTTCCCTAAACGTTGCCACAGGACAGCTCTCTGGCTACGTCACCATGAAGATGCTTATACCTTGCAAGACCCAACCACTCCTGAGACCCCCAGTTACTAAATGACCAGCACAATCCGGGAAGAGCCAGTCCAAGCAGATGCGAACCATTGCAGTCCTCAAAGCCTTGTTTATGTCCAGGCCCACGCCAAGCCGCAGCTATAGGCAGATCCCCTTCTCTCCCGCCCGCCATCGACTCCCGGATTCCCAGAAAGACCCCCTCCCCCTGCTTCCGGTTTCCCGGCCCAGGGCGGCCTCCAGCCTGGCCTTTCAAGGCCTCACGGCTTGGGCCCGCGGCTCACCCTCGAGCGTCTCGCACTGCACCAGGTTGAGGTAGTCCGCCTGGCTGAGCACCCCGGCCTTCAGGCCGCGCACCAGTCCTTCCAAGTAGCCATTATCCACGTTGAAGTAAAGCTCCGGGAAGAACGACATGGCTGCAGCGGGGTCGGCGGGACCAGAGAGCCCCGACCGGCCGGCACACAACGCAACTACAAGATCAGCTGACGCGGCGCCCGCAAAGGGCTGTCAAGAGCGTCAGGTGACGTGCAAGGACCTCACGTGACCACAATAGGGCAGGACTCTGAGCGGCGCACGGCTTCCGGGTGGTTTCCTGAGCAAGCGCAGCGCAAGTGTGAACTGCAGGCGGCCTTCTGGGCGCTTGCGCACTGAAGGGAGATGGGCTTCCCCCCCTCCCCCCACCAATGGCCTGAGAGCTACTTGAATGTCCGAGAACCACCGCATGGTGGCGCCCGTGGCCGCAGGATTCGGTGGGGGCTCTCTTCCCGCGGTTAGGTGCACCAGGTACTGCAGAAGCCGGCTGGGTAAAAGTGAGAGCGGGAGATGATTCTTATTGTAAAGGTTCCACACTGTTGAGTCTAAACCAGGGGAAAAGAGGTCCGGTGGGGGCTGGCTTTGCAGAAGGTCACACTTAGCCGCAAGTGGGTCCTGGACTCAGGCTTATTCTCTACCTGGGAGTTACAGCCCCCGTGCTGGGCTGGGCTGCGCCCAGCTTTTTCCCGCATTTGATGTAGAAGATTTTCCAAGGCTGTATTGAGGCCCCCTTTACTTCCCGCAAAGGTGCCTGGTGCTCTAAAAGCACGCGTACATGTGGCTCAGATGATGGGATAGCCGAGGCCCTGGGGTAAGCATGTATGTGGTTTCTTGACTTGGCGACACCCCCATCCCTTCAAGAACCCAACCCCGCCTCGACGACCACGTTCGAAATAACCACAGCTTTGGGATTGATCCCATCCTTTATTCGTATGCCCGTTTGCTGAAACGTTAGCCTGTTAGGTGCGGCTGCAGGGGTTGGTGGCCGTACCCAGCTTGCGGCAGTAGCAGAAGGCATTGAAGAAGCGGCAGTAGCAAGTGGCGCACGGGTCACAGCATGGTACCTGCTGTCCCAGGCAGGACTCGTGCAGCCTTACACAGCGGCGCGGGGAACGGAGCTCACGGTTCTGCGGGTCTAGCATCTGCATTGGTAAGGGAACAGGAGAGTGAGCGCAAACTTCTGAAGGCAGGTTCAGGCACCTCACTTGCTCTAAGCTGTGCAAGATGGCAATGGAGTGTAGGGAGGGGTGCCCTGCTGTGTCGCCCCTTGTTGAAGGGGTCCAGAGGTGGGGAGAAGGGGTGGTACCTGATGCCCCCTCTGCAGCCTGACCCTTTCCCTGAGTGCTTACCTCCGCCAAAGCTTCTGCCTTCTGTAGCAGAGCCTCTTCTGATTGTTCTGCAGTCGTCTTCTTCAGCAGAGCTTGCAGGCCTAAGCCTGGGGCAGAAAATGTGAGGACAGGACCCCCATGCACAAAGTACCCACCTCCCGGGGCTGGGATTGGGAAGGGAGAAAGGAGGGATTATGCCAGGCAGGCAAGTTTGTGGCCAGAGAGAGTTCAGGATCCCCCAGCCCACCCCTGCCCTACTCACCTGGGAACTCTGGTAACAGGGCCTGGTCAGGCCTTCTGATGCCCTCCAGGGGTGCCAATCCCATTTGGGCCCCAAGCGTGGTTGGCAATGCCAGCAGCAGGGCACAGCTTAGCAGCACTGCAGTCAGCATAGCCTGGCTCATAGGAAAACCCACCACTTAGTCCTTCCTCATCCTTGGAGTACCTTGTAGATGTCTGGAAAGTAGGATTCTCCACCCAACCTGAGGACTTACCTCTGCTTGCTGGTCCTTGCCTAGAGAGTCCCTGGCCAACTGTTCCCTCAGCTTTTATGTCAGGGTCTAATGAAGGACCCACACGTGACTCTACCCTACAGCTAAGGCATGAGGGGCCCTCTTTAGAGGGTGGGGGCACAGTTCAGGCTCACTCACTGGAACTCAAGACTTTGGTACTCTACTAGAGGAGTGGCCATCTCCAATTTTGGGTGAGGCCTCCAGGAACCAATTAATATTTAGAAACAAGATAGGGTATCCAGGCTCCCAAAATTTCCATAGGACCAGGACCTAGGGGATGCGCTGGGCTGGAGCCATTAGCAATAACAAGGCAGGCGGCCAGGAGAGTTTAATTTAATTTGTGGCCCCGGAAATGCTCACTCAGCCCCTATAAAGCATGTTGTTTCCTTTGTTTCCAGGAACTTGGGTCAAGGGCATTGAAGGGAGTGATGGGCTAGTGGCTATTGTGGTACAAGGATGGGGTACAGAACTAGACCTTGGGTTTCTTTGAGGAGAGAAGAGTGGAAGAAGCTCACCTAGCCAAAAACAGGCCCTCTGCCTACATCTCTGGACTGCCATCCCTCCCTCTTCTCTCTCCAGGCTTCTCCAAGATCCCCACCCCCTTCTCCTGTTCCCAAATCCCTTTCTGCGCAGGGTTCCTGGAAACTAAGGGAGCTGAACGGACGGACTGTTCCCTGGGTGGGCAAGCAGCTTCCGAGTAAAAAGCTTTCAGGCCGCCTGCCTCATTAGTGCTAATGGCTGCTCCCTTATACTTGTGTTGTTAGGCTTCTGCCCACGCCTGGTCTCATGAGCATGAGGCTGTGGTGAGGACTGCCCATTTGTGGACATGGTAGGACATAGGACCCCACCTGCCCCTGCCTTCTCTCATCCCTCTGGAGGGCTTTTTAATCTCGCATGTGTCCATTTGGTAAAAGGATGCAGACTGAATCAGCGTGGAGGACCCAGTGCACAAACAAGGCTGTCCCAAGGCAGCAGGAAAGGATGAAAGGGCTGTCAGGGTCTGCAGACCAAGTCCACACAGGCTGTTCTGAGCAGGATGCCTGAAGAAATGCTCCTAGAAGCAAGTGGAAATCATAGATTCCCATATGGCAGCCTTTGCCTGGAGTCAACACCAATAATTGGCATTTGTATGCCGTCTTCATGGGAGGAGGCTCTGCAGAAGTGGGCCTATGGCAAGATCCTTCCACAGGTGAATACTGTGTCTATGCTGGTATCACCTGCAGTCGTTTTCAGGATAACAGTCCTTGGAGCTCAGAAAGCCACTTACTGTTGCCTGGAGGTGGGAGGAAACACTGAGGAATCAGGGGAAGCCCCTCTAAGGAGACAGTTCCTGAACTGAGCCCTTAGGATGATCCAGTTAAGGGCCAGTCCCCTATTCTCCCCTATGAATAGGGTTGGTGATTTGGAAAACAGACCTGGTGTTGAGATCTCTCTGGCAATTCAACTGACCTTTCTATCCCAGAGGCTGTAAAAGGCCTGGTGGCTCACTTCAGTGCTTTCTCTTTTCTAGAAAGATGCAAAGTAAAAATATCAGACACCCAGGTGTGCTTCCATCCTGATTGGGTCACTTGGGGCTCAGGAAGGGCAATGTATCAAATGTACATGAGATACTTTGCTCAAATTCTTGTGCCTGGCACATCCCTGAAGATACTGGCTAAAGAGGTGTGGAACAGGGAGGGACTATGTGTTGGTTGGAAAGGTGCCCTACTGATTCTGAGCACCTGGATGGGCCTGTTCAGTAACCATCCTAAGGAAAGAATTTCACGTCTGGGACAGTGTGTCTTCCCACTCCAGCACTCAGCTGTCTTCACCTGCATGTGTGCACACAGATGTATCAGCCCTGTGGGAAGCAACAGACAGGGGCCAAACCATGATCCTGGTCAGGTTCAGTGGAGGAGACAGTCAAGCAAACCAACCATCAAAACAGGGTGGCAGTCAAGTGCAGTGGTTGAAACCTGTAATCTCAGCTACTCAGGGGAGAGAAGCAGGAAGATGGCAAGTTTGAAGCCAGCCTTGACAACTTAGTGAGACCCTGTCTCAAAATAATAAAAAATAAAAAGGACTAGGGTGTAGCTCAATGGTAGAGCACCCCTGGGTTCAATCCCCAGTACTGGGATGGGGGACATTTTTGTAGCTCACAGTTTGAGAGGGTGAAAGCCTAAATGGCATAGAGTAGCAGGCTTGGCAAAGGTCCCATGGCAGATGGCAGGAGTGAGTCACATTAAGTGGTCACGTCTCCACTGGGAAGCAGAGAGAGCTGCTGAGGCCAGACTTGCTCTTTTTACAAGAATCCTCTAACAAGAGCTCAAGGGGTCTCCAGAGAAAGTAGTTTCCTAATGACCTTAGGACCTCCCATTTGGAGTCTCTACCACCTCTCCATACTGCCACCCCACATGAACCTTTGAGGGGACACAATTAAACCATATTCAAACCAGAGCACCAAAGAAAACAGAAAATGATAATAGGACATTTTTTTAAATGTTTTTTATTGTAGATGGACCCAATATCTTTATTTTTATTTTTATTTTTTTTTTTTTTAAAGAGAGAGCGGGGAGAGAGAGAGAGTGAGAGAGAGAGAGAGAGAGAGAGAGAGAGAGAGAAGTTTATTATTTATTTTTTAGTTATCGGCGGACACAACATCTTTGTTTTGTATGTGGTGCTGAGGATTGAACCCGGGCCGCACGCATGCCAGGCGAGCGCGCTACCACTTGAGCCACATCCCCAGCCCTATTTTTATTTATTTACTTTTATGTGGTGCTGAGGATCAAACCTAGGGCCTCATGCGTGCGAGGAAAGTACTCTACCACTGAGCTACAACCCCAACCCACAGAAGGAAACTTTTAATGTAACAAACTTTGACAAATCAAACCAAATATCAGTTATTTGGAAAGGTGAACATAGAAGTAATTATAGATATATGTATACATACTGAGCTAAGACAAGAAACCAACCCATAGGCCATATTTTGGGCTAATTCAGTGGTAGGGATGGGGATGGGTGATACAGTTCATGTGGGGTGCAAAAGGAGCTTGGAGTGGGAAAGGGAATAAACAAATGTTTATTTCTTCCTCTGGACTCCAGTTAGGTTCATGGGCAATATGAGTGCTGCTGGGCGCCTGTTGCTATGATCTGAGCCCAATACTGTCACAGAGGTTGTACAACATGATTATGGTTATAGGTGTTTGATGACTGACTCACTGACTGATCCAATTCTAGGGAACTTCATGATGGAGTAACTGTCTCCCCAGCTCCAGCTGAGTGAGAAGAGTATACTGATTGTTTACCAGGCTGGGGCCTTTGGGCAAGTTTGGGGCAGAACATGTGTTAGGCAGTGAAACAAGACAGCATAGGAAAGAATATGCCAATTGTGAGTCCCAGGGACAGGTAGTGTCCCTTGCCTGGCACTCCCCAACTTCACTTAAGTTTCAAGAGAGTAAAAGTCTTCTCCCCCAGGAAGCCTTCCCTGGCCAACTCCCACCTGCCTTTTGCTGAGGTAGGTGACTATCCATGTCCCACAGACCCTTCAGCATTCTTGGGCCTTCTTCTCTCAAAGCACTTGATTGCATTTTTTTTTTTTTTTGTAGGGGGAGGTTTTGGTCCTGGGATTGAACCCAGGACCTCACGCATGCTAGACAAGCCTTCTGCCCCTGAGCACCATCCCTAGTTCTACCCTACTCTTTTTAAGATTCCTTTTGTTTTTCATTTTTGATATGGAAAATTTTGAATCTACATAAAAGTAACGTGAATAGGATAATGAAACCCAGGTATTGTAATCCTATTTTGATAATCACCAATTTACAAACAATTTTGTTTCATTTACATCATCTCCCAACTCAGATTATCTTGAGATAAATCCCCAACTTCATATCATTTTATCAGCAAATGCTTTGTTATGCTTCCCAAAAATGGTGCTTTAAAAAAGGGCAGAAGCACAATACCATATTGCAAAAAAAAAAGTTCAAGTTATTTTTTAATGTCATCAAAATCCAGTATTCATATTCTGTTAATGCCAACATAAACATGTCTTTTCTATTCCACTTGGGTTTTGCTTTTACCTTTTCTAGCAACATAAGGTGCAATGGCTGGTCCTCACATTTGTCTTTCCTTCTTGCCTATAGTAGTCTATAGAAGAACCCTCTGTGAATGAGCATTAACACTGTATGGATAATTTTACTGTCAGGAACCACCAGCCTGATGTTTTCAGGAAAACATTTGTTTAAGGGACTTTTCAGAAATATGTTCAAGTGGGGAATTTGGGAGACCTGGGGGTTACTGAGCTTACCTGCTGAGGCTGGGGCCTTGACTCCAGGGAGGAGAAACCAGAGGGTATGGATGTTCTGTAAAAACAAAGGGGTCTTTTCCCTCCTGCAGTATACTTCTCACTCCAAAGGGCGTTTTCTCACTTTGTCGTGTGTGTGTGTGTGTGTGTGTGTGTGTGTGTGAGAGAGAGAGAGAGAGAGAGAGAGAGAGAGAGAGAGATGGTGGTTACACAGGTATATACATTTCATTAAACTGCAAAATGCACATTTAAGGCTTGTGCATTTGGGGGCAGGGTGTATTGCTTAGTGGTAGAGTGCTTGTCTAGCACACATGAGATCCTAGGTTGGATCCCCAGCACCTCAAAAAAAGAAAAAGAAAAGATTTGTACATTTATTATATGTTATAACTCAATGAAGAGCACTTTTTTTCATTTTGTTTATTAAAAGTTCACAAAATAATGGACTGTCTAATAATAAATGGCCTCTTAGAGGTTATGATATCAGATACATTAAAGCATCTCCATAAGATAGGTGCCCCTTACCTGGTCCTTTAGGGACATTCTGAGTCTTTTCTATTTCCCACCATTGGATTTAAAGATAAGACCTTCTAGAATGCTCAAAGACTATTGGTAACCCTCCATTCAAGGCAGATACCTATTAGGGAAATAGAATCAATGAGAAGACATCAGTTGCATTGAACCCAAAACTTGATTTGGACTGTCTTAAACTATAAAAATAATTTATTGGCTTAAATAACTGAAGAAGCCCAAATATAGGGCTGGTTTCAGATGAGGTTTTATTTAATACCTCTTGGTTTTATAAGCACTCAGTGGGGCAGCTATAGTTGATTGCCTTCCCAATGCCCATTCCCAGTTTTGTTTGGAGCAGTGCCCAAACATAATAACTTCCTCCAATTCCCTGAGAGTTCCCGGTGTCCCTGGGATATATTTATGATTCAGGAGACTCATGGTGAGGTCTTCTGGGAAAGTTTGGGTATCCTGGCAAGACACTTAGGGGGTTCGTAAAGATGGAGGGAGCTTCTCAAAAGGATTCCCCCCTAACTTCTAGGTCAGATTTTGTATAGCTGTTCAAAACAGGCATACTAATAGTCCCTGTGGTTTCCCATAGCACAACCTCCAACCTCCCACACCCTCAGTTTCCTGGTTCCAAGCTTAAGGGATTCAGTCTACTTCTTCCCTCCCTGAAACCAAGTAACAGCTGAAGAAATTCCAGGAGTCCTTCTGGACTCTACTTCCTAGAGTTGACAAAGGGAACTCACAACCCTTAACCCTTGAAGGTAGGTCATTTTATTGCTGCAGTAAAGAGAAGGGAGGAGGGCCTGAGGATTCCCAACTGGGTGAGAGTCATCCTCCTCAGGCCATCCCTACATGGGGTGGGGTGGGGGAGCCCTGAGGTAAGTTCAGAATACAGGCCTCAGAGGGTCTCCACCTAAAGCAAGAGGAAGCTGGAGTCAATCTACAGCAACTCCCTCCCATGCTTCCTGGAGGCTTGTATGGGGAGTGTAAACTCCTAGTATTTCTGATCAGCCTCTACAGTGAGCTCAGAAAGGCCTGGCATCTCAAAGGCAGATACTAGCAGTGGACACTTATCAGAGAGCTCTGAAAAGGTAGGGCCAAAGACAGGGAAGGGCTCTGAGAGCCTCTGTTTCAGGTGTGTCTAAACATGTGGGTCCCCAGAATGTAGGGCTCATACCACCACCACCACCACCACCAGCAGCAGCCTAACCTAGGAACTGGTGAGAATGTCAATTTGGTCCTGCCAAGATTTAAGGAGTGGCAAATTCTCAGGACCCAGCTACCAGAGTTTGTAACAGATGTTGCAGGTGATTCTGATGTGACTGATCTTAAAGAATCCTTGTCACTGTTTCTAACTCCAAAGCTCAATGCCATCTTCCTCATATGATATTGTGGTTGAAACCTGAGGCCAAGGAGTGCTGGGGTGTCATAGAGAGAGGAACATCTCAGCCTCACGGAATACCCAATGGGTACTGACCCTTGGAAGCCAGTGTGGAGACAGGCTCATTCCTTCATCCATGAAATATTTATTGAATGTCTACTGTGTGCCAAAGCCTGGTACAAATACTAAGGGCTTACTGAGAGTCTGGGAGCAAAGGGAGAAGGGCTGGGAATGGAACACTAAGAATATGGCTCCCTTGGAGTTCTTGTGGTCTGACTGACTTCTTGAAGATGCTCCATAGGGAATGACTTGACCTTGCCAGTCCAGGAAGACTCCTGCTTCTTTCTCAGTGAGCTAAACCATCAGCATGTGCTGGATGGATTTTGCTCATCTTCAGTGGGGTTTGCAGAGCACACAGCTGAGCACACGTGGAGCTGAAGCCACCGGGCCATATTCTGGCCCATAGACAAACTGAGCTCAAATGGGTGGGGGGGCAGAGAAGCTGTACCCCATACCTTCAAGGATCTAAATGGCACCCATCAGTTGCCCATGCTTAGGAGATGACACTTATGTATGTGCCCCAGAATCTGTTCCTCCTCCAACCCACAACCTCTTTTGTAGTATGCCTCTCCCCATTCCATAACCTCTCACACTTCATGGCACTGTGGGTTCTATTATCTGTAGCCTCCATGTGCATCCTAGACCCCAGAATTCAACACTCCATACTCCCTTAGTCAACCATCCTGGGAAACTTGACCCAACGACAATGTATACCCCTCATGCCATTGATAGCCCTTACAAAATGGAATTCAAAGCCATAGACATCACTTGACCTGACATCTTTTTTCCCTCCCTTTTTATTTTTTGAGATAGGATCTAAGTTGCTGAGGCTAGCCTCAAATTTGCGATCCGTCTGCCTCAGCCTCCTGAATCACTAGGATTACAGGCCTGTGATACCATGCCTGGCTTTGAGCTGACATCTTTGCCAGACTTTGAGCTGATATCTTTGCTAGACTTCCCTAAGAACCCAGCTGAGCAGTCCTGTGCTCATATTCCCACAGGGCTATAATGTTGGGAATCAGAGAACTGACTTGTAGTGTGCAAATTAGAATGGGCCATCTGGGTATTCACCCACCTGGAATGGATGCTGGCACACAGGATGCCTTCCTTGCCTTCAGCCAGAGCCTGGCACCAGGTCAGTATGTTCAGAGCAGTCTAGAAGAGGAATGAACTGGAAGGGCTATCACCAACCTAAGGAAATCCTAAATGCTACCAAAATCCCAGGTCCTCCCACTCCGGTTACCTTACTACAGCAGTAAGACACATTGTGTCTGCAGGCCCAACCCAGAATTTTTGTCATAGAGCCTGCAATGCTACAAAGGTTGAAAATGGCAGCTTGTATCCTGCTCAGGTCTTTCAGGGAATGGATCCTAGCAGCTTTCCTCAACTGTGACCCAAAGGCCTGGGACAAAGGAAAGGGGTGTAGGCAAGAAGGAACAAGGTCTCAGCAATTAATATTTTATGCAGGGCTGTGGATGTGGCTCAAGAGGTAGCGGGCTTACCTGGCATGCATAAAGCCCTGGTTCGATCCTCAGCACCACATACAAACAAAAGATGTTGTGTCCACCGAAAACTAAAAAATAAATATTAAAAAAAATATTTTCTGCACCTGGAAACAAAGCTGATGTTATTCCATGGAAAGGTCTACATGACTTAGCAGAGGAGCAGGTATCAGGGGAATTGGAGCCGTATTCCTTCCCCTGCCTGGACCTGTTCATGTTCCCTCCCCTGCCGGAGGCCCTTGGGATAGAGGAAAAGCAATAGCCCAAGGGCAGGGTATAAGTCTGGCCAGCAAGAAGAAGGGAGGTGCTTCACCTGGCTGAAGAGCAGGGGAGCCCACAGTGTGGCTCTGGTATGACAGCAGCATGTTGGCTACTGTGGCTACATCCAGTGATGAGATGTCAAAGGCTCTGTGTTGTTGACAAGCAGAGATAGGTCTTTGCCTCTCAGAAGCTCCCATACCTGGCTTTTCGCTAGCTGAATGGATGCAGGGTCTGTGACATCTTTGGAAACAAGGCAGAGTGGGCTTCAGGACCTTCCCTGATCCTTCCTTCCCTTAGTCCTTGGGCTTCTGTTTCTTGCTTGGCAGCTTACCCGCTCCTGGTGTAACTCTTTATACTGCATATTCACTCTGGCTTAAGCCTCAGGGCTTCATGTCTAGAACCTACTGTTTAAAAGTTCTCCCTTTTCACCATGTCCTCCTCACAATCAGCTGAAGGTGTCAGATGCTTCACATCCTGACCCATATGGAGTGGGCATGCTGCATCTCCCAGGGGATGCTTACTTGGTTGAGATTCAGAAACGGTCAGGATCGTGCCCCTGTGGGAGCCAGGTATAATGGGAGTCTGAGAGAAGTGTGAATCAGGTACAGAGTAGGGAACAAGTAGGGGAAGGGTATGAAAAATAATTGTGGCAGGGAATCCATCAGCAAGGGCAAGAGTGGTCTCTGGTTTGCTGTGCCCACAGCAAGCTGAAGGATCTCTGCAGGGTTTGATCCTATTTTGCTAGGTACTAAAGCTCCTGGAGGAAAGGAAGCAAGAATAACCCTGGGCCACACCATCTTTCACCCCAGCTCAATCCCAGCATGGCCTCTGGCAGCCTCTTTACCTGGGTTTGGGGTTATTTGGGTTATTTTGAGGAGGGGTACCAGGGGTTGAACTCAGGGGCACATGACCACTGAGCCACATCCCAAGCCCTATTTTGTATTTTATTTAGAGGCAGTGTCTCACTGAGTTGCTTAGCGCCTTGCTTTTTGCTGAGGCTGGCTTTGAACTGGTAATTCTCCTATTTCAGCCTCCCGAGCTGCTGAACAGAGGAGATTACAGGGTACATCACCGTACCCTGCTGCTATTGGGGTTCTAACATGTGACAACATCTGGAAGTAGGGGCAGTGCAGCAGTTGACACCTGTCATCAGGGCACTCTTGGGGCTGTACTGGGTCATGGGACTGAGGAGACTCCTTAGAATCTCTCTGTCTAGCTGGGTCTGGTGGCACATATATAATCCCAGTGTCTTGGGAAACTGAGGCAGGAGGATTGCAGATTCAAAGCCAGCCTCAGCAACTTAGTGAGGTCCTGAGACCCTATCAAAATAAAAATTACAAAGGTCTGGGGATGTGGATCAGTGGTTGAGACCCTGGGTTCAATCTGTGGTTAAAAAAAAAAAAAAAGAATCTGTCTACCTAGCTTCCTTCTACTCATGACAGCCTGAAATCCTAGTGAATGGAAAAGGAGATAGGCCCTCATACTCCCATACATAAGGGAGTGTATTTGTTTTTTGCTTGCTTGTATTTCCTGTTCATGTTCCCTCCCCTGCCGGAGGCCCTTGGGATAGAGGAAAAGCAATAGCCCAAGGGCACACATTGTTCCCTCCTCTTTTTTCTTTTAGTGCTGGGGATCTAATACAGGGCCTCATGCATGCTAGGCAAGTACTCTACCACTGAGCTATATCCCCAGCCACACATTGCTTTTTTAAAAAATATTTTTTTAGGACTGGGATGGTAGCTCAGTGGTAGGGTGTTTGTTTAGAGGCACTGGGTTCAATCCTCGCACCACATAAAAATAAATAAGTAAAATAAAGGTACTGTGTCCATTTATAACTACAAAAAAATTTTTAAATAATTTTTTTTTTAGTTGTAGTTGGACACAATACCTTTATTTTATTTATTTATTTTTATGTGGTGCTGAGGATGGAACCTAGGGCCTCACATGTGCTAGGCGAACGCTCTACCACTGAGCCACACACAACCCCAGCGCCCTGCCCCCCACAACCCCAGCTCCCCCTGCCCCCCCGCCCAACCGCCCCCCCCCGCACATTGCTTTTGTAATAAGGAAAAAAAAAAAAGCAAAGATTTAGTTTTTGCTTTAATTGAAATAGAATAAATAAATGTACGCCCCCTTGTGGTTGCATGTTCATTCCCACTCCCCTTTAGGAACCTCCTGGAGCCTCTAATTTGGTCTCCTCTGTTCAGGGTTATGGCCCCACAGATTTGTATTCTAAGGAATGCTGATCAAATTTCTAAAAATCTCGAGCCCTGTACTGAATTACCCCAGGTTGAAGGTCTATCTCTGCTTCCTGGAATACTGACTAAATAGCAATAAAGATGTCCCTCCAGGGGTGGTGGACATGCCAGAAACATCTAGCACAAAATCCATGACATTAATATCACACACACACACACACACACACACTGAGGACAGCCAGTCAGCAGTAAGCACACCGGATACAGAGCCCCCTGTATACTGGACTGGTATACAACCGACATCCAGATGGGCAAATTGCACCCAAGTGTGTGAATCTCACTATTAAAGGACACATTAACTATTTAGGTATAATTCAGTAGTGAAATGGAGCCCCCTAAGACTGCACAGATCTCAAGCCTAAGAAACCAGCTTCTTGGGCTTGAGGTCTGTGCAGTCTTAGGGAGCTCCATGCTCAAAAGGGGTTCCATGATTATTTTCATGCTCTGCTGTCACTTTTTTTTTTTGAGAGAGAGAGAGAGAAAGAGAGAGTTTTTTTAATATTTATTTTTCAATTTTCGGTGGACACAACATCTTTATTTTATCTTTATGTGGTGCTGAGGATCGAACCCAGCGCCCCACGCATGCCAGGCAACCACTTGAGCCACATCCCCTGCCCTGCTGTCACTATCTTGAAAATAATAGTTTTGAATGAGACACTCTACATTTCAGTTTGAGGCCCACAAATCATGACCTGGGTGAAATGTTCCCACATCAGGGCAGAGCAAGTGTGTCAACTAAAATAACAACACAAAAAGTGGTTCTTCAAAGAATTTAATTTACTCAGGAATAAATGAGGGATTGCAATGAAGGATATATATGATATGATGAATCACAGTCACACCTAGGGAGGCAAATGAAGATAAGGGCATTTTGTAAGTACGTATGGTCCTAAACCCAGGGGCACTCTACTACTGAGCTATATCCCTACTCCATTTATTTACTTATTTATTTATTTACTTACTTACTTACTTACGAATGAGACAGGGTCTTGCTATTTAGCCCAGGCTGGCTTTGAAATTGTGATTCTCCTGCATTGGCCTCCAGAGTCACTGGGATTACAGGTGTGCACACCATGCATGGCAGGAAGACAAGGATTTTTAAAGGCAAAATGAGAAAGGTAACATAAATTGTTTTGAAATGATTATCCTTGGTTACAAGTATCACCAACAAGGGTTACATTGGTCCAACACTGAATAGGCAGTTGCTGGGTAGGCATCTTTATTGAAGTATGGTAAGTTGTATAAGGTTGTGGAGGCCTTTGTGCAAGGTTATGGTTTTCAGAGAGACCTTGAAATAGTTTTGGTCATATACAAGTGTGTGTGAGAGCCCTCTTCCTTATGGTATCCTAACACTATTTTGTTAAGATTTGGCATGAGTGACTCCATTTTGGTTCTGATAACTTTCATATGATGGGAGGAAGGGTACAAGGAATGTCTGGTGTATTATTGATGATTATCAGAATTAGTAAACTTCTCCAAAGTTCTTTTTAAACTTAATTGAAGCCTAATTAATTCATTGTCCACATGCCATCACTCAGCTTTATTTCACTGACACATTTGTAAAAGTATTTTGGGTTTTTTTGGTACTGGAGATAGAACTCAGGGGGTTTTTAGCCATGAACTACATCCCCACCCCCACCCCTTTTTTAAGATTTTGGGACAGGGTCTTGATAAATTTCCCAGGTTAACTTCAAACTTGTGATTCTTTTGCCTCAGCCTCCCGAGTTGCCGAGATTAAAGGTGTGCACCACCATGCCCAGCTTGCAAAGCATTTTTTAAATTAAGCAGTGCCTTTGACAACCCTCAGGAACTCAACACAAATACACACCCAGTCTTTCAAACATCCACTGAGATGTTACATATCATTAGCAGATATTAGCCCCATTCATAATTGGTATCCAGAGCCCCTAAAATGCAATCCTATCCCCAACCTAGCTACAACAGATTCTCCCAAAGTTCACAGTAACACACACACTAAGGACATCTAGCTAAGTGTGGCGGCAACATCTGCATAACCCCTCTCATTTTGACAGGTGATAAATTTTCAGGGAATGGCCAATATGAAGGTTGACTATGTGCAGACTACTGAGTCTGCAGTTTGCATTTGAACATTTTTTCCCTGCAGTACTGATTGAACCAGGAGTGCTCTACCACATCTCCATCCCTTTTTGTTTTTTTATTTTCAGACACAGTCTCATAAAGCTGCTGCTAAGGTTGGTCTTAAACTTGCAAACTTCCTGCCTCAGCCTCTCAAATAACAGAGATTACAGGCATGAACTACCATGCTTAGTTAATTTCTGATTTTTTTTTTTTTTTGGTACCTGGAATTGAACCCAGGGGCACTTTACCACTGAGCGACATCCCCAACCTTTTTTATTTTTTATTTTGAGACATGGTCTCATTAGTTTCTCAGGTCCTCACTAAATTGTAGAGGCTGGCCTAGAACTTGTGATCCTCATGCCCCAGCCTCCCAAACTGTAGGATTACAGGCATGACCCAACAAGCCCAGTTCTGATTTCTAACATGTTCAAATGCAGCTGGACACACCACTGAACTTGGGAGACTGAGGCAGAAGGGTTGTAAGTTCAAGGCCAGCCTTGGCAACTTAGTGAGACATTGTCTTGAAATTAAAAAAAAAAAAAAGAAAAGAAAAGAAAGACAGGGCTGAGGATGTAACCTAGCGGTAGAGCATTCCTGGGTTCAATCCCAAGTACAAAAAGAAGAAAGAAAGGGAGGGAGGGAGGGAGGGAAGGAAAGGAAAGGTTTAGAAAGAAAATTAAACTAGAAATTATGTGTGTGTGGGAGTAATTTCTGAGTGCCTAGGAAGGATAAGAAGCTTGGCATCTTGAAAGTACATTAGAAATATTCCTATAGTTTTCTAGATTTCCAGGGAACACCAAAAATTGTCATTAAGTGGAAACTCAGTAAGGAAATAAGGTGATTTTGTGTCCTTGGGGTTGGGGATCTTGAAACTGCAAAGGTTCTGAGTTGAGCCCCTGCAGGTACAGGGTTCTAGTTTAATGAGGACAACCCAAGTCAAGGCAAAACTAACAACTCCACTGCCTCTCATGATAGAGCAAATCTAGGGTTTTAGATAAGAAATGCAAGGGCTAAGAGGGGATAGAGTGAAAAACTAAGTCCTTACTGCTCTCAGGTTTCCTGCAAGAAATCCCAATGGAGAAGACATGGCTGGCTGGGTAAATGAGTCATGGGCTTTATAAGCTAAGGGAGCTGGAAGGCAGATTCCAGGAAATAAGTAAGGAGGAATCACAGGGAAAGTTTTCAGTTTTAGTGTGAAACTGTTAAGCTGTAATGCTATTCTGGGAACTCAGGAGAAAAACAACATGAGAAAGACTAGAGAAATTGCAAGGATCCAGACAGCTCAAGTGAGAGAAAGCCTGTGTCTTTGGGCAATTTAAAACAACTGACCAAGATGGCATGGACTGGGCAAGTTACCAAACAGGGAGATAGTTTCCCGGTGCCCAAGACCTCCAGTCATTCATAATCCAACAGGTATTCATTGAGCACCCAGCAAGTTCCTGTGACATGGAGTTTTGAGTGAGGCACAATGGTCCCCAGCCCTGCAAGACTCATAGCCAATAAGCAAGAAATCATACTTGTATTGAGCAACAAGGAAGAAAGTTCAAGGATGTAAGGCAACTGTGCAGTCCTGGAAGATTCTCTATACCTGGGGGAGGAAATGTTCAGAAATAAAGGTCAGAATAAATTCCAGGCAGAGGCTGGAATGAGCAAGCTGCAAGAACTGCAAGGAGAGTAATTTTGGGAACTGAGCACAAGAATAGACTACATGTGCCAAGGAGGTTTACTTTATCATAAGCTGCACATTTGTTTTATGCAATTTTCTGTGTTTGTTTTGTTTTGCAATAAAAGAGGATAACAGGAACAACAAAAGACTAAATGGGTCCTTTTTATTCTATTTTGGGCAAACTTAGTAAGGTGGAGGGAGCATCTCCTAAGTACCAGGCAGCTTGCTTGGTGCTTTGTTTATTTACAGAGCAATTCTGTTCATCAGGGTTTACTGAGCTCCCTGAGCTAGGCCCACCCATGAAGCAGAGGGCATAGCAGGATCAAAGGTCTGAGGTGGGACCACCTAAAGCAGTCTCAGGGAGAGCCAGGAGTCCTATGTGGTTGGAGAAGTATGAGGGTGCATTGGCCTGAAGAAACACAGGCTGATCGTCAGACTTTAGTCTGGTGGGAATAGAATAATTTGGAGAGATCAGATCTGTGGGAAGCCAAGGCCATGAGGGGGAAGTCCCATCTCAGCACATTCTCTTCTGTGTGACGTTAGAAATAATTAAACTGGGGACCGTAACAGCTGCAACCAGGACCCTTTAGGAATTCAGGTCCTCCCTGAATGACACATAGGCCAGCACTCCCGCTGGGCAGTCCTGTGGGTGAAGGGAAACTCATTAGGTCCTTTTATCAAATGTGCTGACTTGTGGCCATCTGCACACCAGCAGACCCTTTGGCTTCCTGGGACAGCACCCTCAGCTCTCAGGAGCCTAGGCTGATGGCTGCTTTTCCCCCAGGACAATTCACTTCTGGTCCAGGACCCTCAGTCCTTCACAGATCCTGATTCAGCTTACAATGGCATCTAGGGGAACAAGGGAGCCTTGGACAGGAAGGTAAGACCCTTGGATCCCATCCCATTCTTACCCCACTAGTTCACTGTGGTGACTCCCAAGTATGGCCTTGCTCTCCTGGAACTCAGTGGCTTTTGAGATCTGCACCTTCTTAGTGTGGGAATTGGGCACAAGTTGAGTCACATGATTCAACGTGGATCTGGCCTTGGAGTGGAGAGCCCTGGTGGTCCTTTTGAAAGGAGCTGCAGAAAGTGAGGAAGGAAGCCTGAAGCGCTGTAAGGGCAAAGAAAGAAGATCCTGATCAGCATGAGTCCCAGGGAAGCTATTTGAAAGAGAGCTGTTTCCTAGCTGAGACCTAATGGGTAAGAAGGAGTTAGCCAGATGAAAGAGTTCAGCCTAGCCTGTGCAAAGATGGGGAGGCATGGGAAAGCAGGGTGTATTCAGGGGCCACAAAGAAGTTCAGTCTGACCAGAGGTAGGACCTTCTAGGGGAACATAGCCAAAGTTGAGGGGCCGGTGGGGAAGTGAGGAGGTCAATTCATCGCATGCAGAGACTATGCAGCTGTTCTGTGGAGAATGGACGGGCATGATGAAACAAGGACACTAAGGCCAGGCAGGAGGGGCAGGTTGTGGCCTAACCAAGGGCACGGTGGCACAGGTAGGGAGGAGAGGGCTCCCTTAAAGGCTGACGGAGGGTCAGGAGGAATAGTCTAAGGAGAGGAGATGGGGTTGACTACACAATAAATTTAGGGTGCTCAAGGGTCATTCTAAGGCAGGGAATGGAGTGAAAGATGGTGGTACTGAGACTCTAGAAATCACTGGGTCAAAAAAAGGGGGGCCTGGAAGTTGTTGGGATGCCCCAGAGAGAAGTATTAAGGAAAAGGAAAGAGGGCCCAGCCCCCAAAGATCAGGAAAAGAGCCAGTTCAGAAGACCCAAGAGGAGTAGTCACAGATGTCAAAGGGAGCTTCCGAAGAGAGGAGAACTGGCTGTGAGCAATATACCTGAAATAGCTTGAAGCAGGGGAGGACTGAGAAGTGGAGAAACAGGGAGCACTTACCCCTCCTGAAAAGGCTTGGGGATGTGGAGACAGTTTTAACTGTGGCAGTGGTGTTCCAGGGCCCTGACCTGAGGCCAGGTTTGAGTACGAGCAGGGCCAACACACCAGACTGAATAGGTTGGGTGGTCACTGCATACCAGTAACTATATTCACAAAAAAAGGGCTGGAGGCCATGGGGCAGCCCTAGAGTTGACAGTATTTGGGCAAGCCTATAACTGCAGCGTGGACACTTCCCACATGGTGGCGCCAAAGATCAACTCTAGATTTGGACTAGGCAGAGGTAGCACAGGGGTCAGCAATTTGGGGATCCTAGGCCGAGGTCACCATCCCATAGCTGGAGGGGATTGCCAGATGCCTGGTGGCTGGGCCTTCTGCACCATAACACCTCCCAAGTTTCTGTCAGAACACTTCTCCTATTGGTAGGTAATCCCAGAAATAAAACTACACACCACACACGTCGGCATTCTGGGGCCTGACCTGAAAGGGTACCCGGAGGGACAGCTCATCCCATGATCTGGAAGCAGCAAAGACGTCCCTCCCACTTGTCCCTTAGGAGAAGGGAGTCAGGAAGGAAGGAAGGACGCCCATCCCAGCCCGCAGGGACTGACAAGCAGACATCCCACCCTAGCTCAGCATGGCTTTGCTCACAGCTCCCTCTGGAGGCCAAAGGTAGACCAGTGGGGACAAGGGCAGAGACTGCCCACTCTTGGGCGAGTCCCCAGGGAAGCCAGCCGCCAACCTGGTCTAGAAGTTTACACCTCCCAGTGCAGAGGCCAACTTGGAGATTCCCCAATATGTAATGGCCAAGTTGCTTTGCTTTTGCAATGATCCCATGTTCATTGCAAATCTTCCCTAGTTTAAGTAAAGACAAAGAAAAGCCAACCAAGTGAAACTGCAATGCTCAGGATGGTCACTACTGACAGCACTCAGGGCCAATGAATGCAGGTCCACCTGAAGAGACTCGTGCTACACAGGCAGTGCTGGAGCCTTCTCCACTCCACTGTGCTTATTGTGTTGAGCACATTTCCATATTCATAGATATAAAATGCTTGCTCCCCACCCTGACCTGACCTTACCTCTTTCCATCTCCTCCAACCTACATAATTAGAATATAGCAACCTATTCTTACCTCCTTGTCATTGCTCTTGCTGTTTCATCTTACTGGGACATTCTTCCTATAGATCATTCCACAAGTGCTTCCTGGTCATTTAGGTCTCAGCTCCAATGTTACTACCTTATAGAGGACTTCCTTGACCACCTGGAAAAAGTAGCCCCTAGTTCTATCCCTCCAAACTTCATTATCATGGCTTGTTTTTCTCACAGCTCTTCTCTCTCAGAAATCATTTTATCTAGCTGGGCACACAGTAGTGCACACCTGTAATCCCAGAGGCTCAGAAGCTGAGACAGGAGGATCTCAAGTTCAAGGTCAGCTTCAGCAACTTAAGGCCCTAAGCAACTTAGTGAGAACCTGTCTCAAAATAAAAAATAAAAAGGGCTAGTGATGTGGCTGAGTGGCAAAGCACCCCTGAGTTAAATCCCCCCCCCAAAAAAACCAAGAAATCATCTTATCTATAGGTTAATTCATTTATTGTTTCTTTGGGCTAGAGTATAAACTTCTTGAGATCAGAGTTTTTGCCTATCTGGTCCACAACTGTGTCCCAGCATCTGGAACAATGCCAGGCACAGAGTAGATGCTCAGTATGTGCCTGACATCTATTTTTAATGGCAACAGAGTAACTCAGAGTATCAAAAAAACACTTTCAGCCCTCTTTCTCCCACTGATAAGCTGTGCTATCCATTTAGCCCTGGTCAAACAATCAGTAATCAACATCTCAGGCACCAATCTTTTCCTGCTTGAACAATTATTTCTTTGGGATAAATTTCTCAAGGAGGAAAGGCAGGATGAAGGGGAGATTTGCACTTAACTTCCTGAAATATACTGAATACACTACTCAGAAACACTCAAATCAATCCCTACTCTCCTGGTCATCACTACCAATCTAGGGCCAAAAAGGGGTGTTTTCTTGTTTATATTTGCATTGTTCTCGTTATTAATGAGATGAAGTGACTCTTCAATTTGAATTTTTGTTTGTGTGTGGTAGGAGGGGTGATACTAGGGATTGAACCCAGGGTCACTCTACCACTGAATTACATCGCCAGCCCTTTTTATTTATTTATTTTTAAAATTTGAGACAGTATCTCACTAAATTGCTGAGGATCTTAATAAATTGCCAAGGCTGGCCTTGACTTTGTGATCTTCTTGCCTCAGCCTCTGGAGTCACTGGGATTGAGGGTGTGTACCAAGGTGCCCAGCTTCAATTTGCAATTTCAATGAGTGAATGGATGGGTGCAGTTAAAGCATCAGAAAGGAGAAGAGGCTCCAAGAACAGCAGGAGTGGTAAAGCCTTGACTTAAACACAGGTCAGCATCTTGGTACTTGACCTTTAACATACATGACGGAAAGTAGGGTCCAGGTGGGGGATGGAGGGTGGAGATTAGTTGTGGGTACAGGCTTATAGTCCCACACCTAGCCCTCTCAAACATGCCTCTGCCCGCACCACACACTGAAGTGCACTATCAACCTAGTTTTCTGGCACTTTTGGTCCTATCTCACTTGACCTCTTGGTCATATGATTGACCACTGTCTCCTTCAGAAGCTGTCTCCATTCCAGGAGACTCTTTCCTTTATCCACATGTCCAGCTGCCTTCTAGACATGTTTTTTTGGATGGTACCCAGACCCCTAAGATGCCACCTGCTCAAACTATGTCATCTTCCCTATAACCTGGTCCTCCACCTCACTGAAGAAAGGTGCATTCACCCATCACCTAGGCCCAAGCTTCCCCTCACCCTGCTTTGGTGACACAGAAGGTACAGAGACTTGGAATCATACCATTTCTGATTGACTGTGAGCCACCTGAGCAGGAATGAGTGTAGTGCAGCATCACCTCTGGGCACCCCAGCGTTGGTGTCATACAGCAAGTATTCCACAAATGCTTGCTGAATATCTGGAGAATGAGCGAATGATATAGCCACAGCCACAGTAAGAAGCAGGCTTCTGTTCTCTCTTCACAGAAAGCTGGGGGGAAGCTGCCCAACAGAGGGCTGTATCCCATGGAGGCTATGGAGCAGGGTGAGGTGAATCTCTGGTTTTCTGGGTTTTGGGAAATGAACTGCATGACTTCCTAAAGTGGAACAGCACCATGTGTGAGCACCTGGGGTTCACTGGGCTCTCATCATCCTATGCCATCTGTTAGAGGGACTTTTCTCAGGCCTGAGTCTACCCTTCCAAGAATATGAACTCCTCCAGGTTAAAAGTGCCCATGATTCCCTGCTGTGCCCAGCTCCCAGCACAGCATAAGGCGGAGGATGTGCTCAGAGAGCAATGCCTGACTCAGGCAGAGCTGAACTGATGATGACTCAGAGAGCTGAGCTGAAGCTCAGACTCAGTCCTTCCTAACCACAACACCATGGAAACTTTCTGCCTTTCCTGAACTTCAGGGGTCTCCTCTGTATAAGGGTTTCTGCTGTATCCTTTCTGATCCATGGTAGTAGTTGTTGGGAAAGTGTCTGGCCCTCAGATGCTGCCTCTCCCTCTCTCAAGACCACGGGCAGGGGGAGAGGGCCAGGTGAATTTGAAGGTGTTCCCTCTATTCATTGCAGCCCCATTTTTGCCTGGTTCTGGTCACAGACAAGGAAAATAGGCAGTGATGGGTGCTTCAAGAGGACACAGGTTCCCTGAGGTGGCACATTTGAGCAGTTTTTCAAGAGAATGGGGGGAGTAACATTGCAGGTAGAAGGGAGGCACAGAGAAAAGTCAGAAGCCAAAACGTAGGGACAATGTTCAGGAAGTTACAGGCAGGCTGGTGTAAGGCAGACCAGGTGTAAAATAGGTGGGAGATAAGGAGGTGAGATCATCTCAGGCCAGATCTTGGGCCTTTGAGGCCCCATCAATGTCTAGACTTACCCTGAGGGCAATAGGGAACCACTGAAGCCTCTTCAGCAGGAGAACAAAATGGTCCATTCATGATTTGTAGAACAATAACATGATCTGATTTTTTTTTCTTGTGGTACTGTGGATTGAACCCCAGGGCACTTTACCATTGAGCTACATCTTCTTTCTTTCACTCTATTCTTTTCTTTCTTCCAACAAGTTCTCACCAATTTGCCCAGGCTAGCCTTGACATTGTGATCCTCCTACCTTAGCCTCTCAAGTTG